TGTGTGTGTGTGTGTGTGTGTGTGTGTGTGTGTACGCAGAGAGATGTCTGGAGGACCACGAGCTGGTGGTTCAGGTTCAAGCCTCCATGAGCAGCGACAGTAAATTCCTCTTCAGGAAGAACTATGCCAAATATGAATTCTTCAGAAACCCCCTGGTGAGTCTCTCGCATCCCTAAAGAAAAGTTATTTCTGGAACTGCCTCATTTTAGCACGCATCCCAAAACACACATATACACACACACACACACACACACACACACACACACACACACACACACACACACACACACACACACACACACACAAGACTATGCTTTCATGCCAAACCATTACATTGGATTGCTTTTTAGCCATTTTCTAATTAGCACTTAACCCTGAGTACAGCTGGCTAACGGCAATGTAATTAATTAATTTGACACAGCAACAGTACAGGCATCATAACATATTATTGTTTAAAACATGATGGTTGTTTATAATGCTTTCTGTTGTATTAAGTTGCAATGCTATTAGCATACACACACAATGCTCTTATTCTTTATTAGCATCCACATTAGCACTAGCGTGAGCATAGGCTATTCTTCCTGGGGTCAAATACAATCAAACATACATAAAAAACAGCTCATAATTTCATGCAATTCAAAATGAAGTGAAAACAACAATTATCATCCTATTTTAACCATCATTAAGCCAAACAGAAATAATACAAACAGTTGCACATCCCCCAGACACAGTTCATTCATACTTTACAATACAGGGATGATTTTTAGCAAACTTTTAAAATGTACTTGGGAATTTTCCTGAGCAATATGGACCTGCAATGAATTCCTGCTGACCATGGCTGTGTATACGACTGTTTTCACTTTATGTTCAGTTGCTTTTTCTCCTGATCTGAAACTCATTTTACGTATGCGCTCATTCCAAGTTTAGTTGAGAAGGCGCGTTGTTCATCACTTTAAGGACCTGCCTCTCACAGCGGGCCAGTCAGCGTTAGTTTGCGTGGCATCTTTTGCTGATGTGGACTCAGCATGAGGCTCCGCTGTTGCGTGCAGCCCAGGGTGTACAGTGACAGTGTTGCCGCGGTGATTTAGGTGTGTGTCAGAGCCAGCAGGTGACCTCAGCTCTGTGGTAATGAGCACAGTAAAACACCAGAGTGCTGGCCACGGCCTGTCAATCACGCTAAGAGTAGCGCTGCTGGCTAAAGGGGATTACATCAGCGGGTGAGATCATACTGCACCTACTCCCGGGCTGGAGTGCCCTCTCTTCACCCCCACCACTTTGTCTCTTAGCCCTTGTGCTCAACACACACACACACACACACACACACACACACACACACACACACACAGCAGAAAGCGAGACGTATTCTGCATAGAGAAACATTACCCCACTCTGAGCTTGCATATGCACTAAGTGGTTTCTAGTGCCTCGTTCTCTCCCTCTCACTCATTGTCAGTGTCTTTGTGTGTTTTTCCATCCAGAACTTTTTTCCAGAGCATATGGTGGCCTGGTGTCAGGAGTCTGACGGCTCGATCCCTCAGTCACAGCTCTTACAGGTGAGGCCATGACATGTGAAGGGACACGTACGTACATCTTGAATAGCACACAGTTGCAGACTTGATTCATAATCAATTCAACTCCTAATTAGCCATTATGAAGAGAAAATAATAGTCGTTAAATGCTGTCGCCTTTTATCTTTGTGAGGACATCTGGTATTCCAAAAATATGCCTGCACACACACACAGTGCCTGACATCTGCTAATTACATTCATCCAGTGTTGTTGCAGCCGTTTTATTAGGAATATATACAAAAACCTGCCTCATTTTCCACCGCAACCTCTTAACATAAACACGTTTTTTTATAAAAATCCTCCTTGCACGACTAGTTTCCAGGCTGAAACACAGACATTTGTGATCTGTACATTCAGTTCTTCTGCCACAGTGTTGCTAAAATATGTTGTTTTGTTGCAGAACTTTCTAAACTCCAGCAGCTGTCCAGAGATCCAGGGCTATCTGTCTGTGAAGGAGCCCGGCCGCAGGTCCTGGAGGAAACTCTACATGTTCCTGCGGCGCTCCGGGCTTTACTACTCCACTAAAGGAACGTCCAAGGTGAGGATTTACAGCTACAACTGGGATGTAGTCGAAATTGGGGGTTTCACTTTTCAGTTAATTCCTCTTGTGATCGAAAAACCCTTTGTTTTAAATAGTCACACATTTTTAAGATCTTAGTCTTGTTTGCAGTGAAATTATAGTCTTTATTGTGTCATTTAAACAAACCTTAACGTATTGGTTTTCACTTAAAATAAAACCAGTAGCTGACTGAGATAGCAAAAACTTGCTCTGAGCTTATGATGCATTCAAGTACTTGATAAGCCGTTCCTCTGTCTTCGGTGTCTTCATGAGCTTTTAGTCATAATGTGGAAACAACTCGGACACAACTTGTTGCTCCATCTTGAGGGGATCTTTCACACAAAGTTTTCCAGATTGGAACACGTTGTTCTGATTATCCCAACAGCCAAATAGTGCAGCACAAAAGCCTTATCTTGCTTTGTCAAGTGTTACAGAGTGATGTCACTGTGTTACAGAAGTAAACAAGAGAGTCCAATGGAGGCGTTTCAGGCGGTGGGGGGGGGGGTGTTTGGGAGAGGGAACTTTGGGATTTTAGCCTTTACAGATCAGTTACATGCACAAACACCTATATAACACACAACAGGAAAGGGAAAACCACCAACACTTTTAAATTGTCTGTAGGATTTTCTTTGTGTTGTTGCCAAGGCACACA